TGCAGAAAATAAAATAAGTAAATAAAATAAGTAACAAAATCTCTACTTTTCCTGGATATCAGCTTGTGTTACTAAGAACAGATAGCAATCAAGAATTATCGATAGGTATAAACAAAAACAGATATTTACAGTCCCATTGATATCACTGACGCTTTCCTTCATATCAGTGCCAAAGTCTTTAATGAACTAAGATACTTTCTACAATGGCAGATGTTATTCAGTAATCAGGTAAAATTTCAGTCTGTTCATAAACCCAAGAGCAGGTCTTTCCACCTAGCATAGATTTACACTTTAGTGTAACTGGACAGAGGTTTTTGTCCACTTCATGAAAGGAAGACCAATAGACCGGAATCTTAATTTCATTCTGCAGTTCCTGATTGTTGCATTAAATAAAGAAATATGGGTCCCCATCATGCAATAGCCAATTTCCAGATGTAATGGGAAAATTCCAATTAAAAGCTACAAGTGTCCTACAGGATATAAATCATACAGAGAGAGAGAGAGAGAGAGATGCATACAAATACATGTTTCTTACTCAGAGATTCCTTCCTAGTCACAGGTAACAACCTGACAAAGAAGCATAAACACAATGATTTGGAGCAGGGAGGGAAAATTAAAGGCTGCCCCACTCCTCTCCGTTTTATACTATATGACTATAAAAGGAAGAATAATGTTGTGATCTAGCCTGGAAAAACACAGATTGCATGCTATTTTATTGCTCAAATAAAGAGCCATAAAGAATGAAATATTCCCCTGGAACGTAAAGTTCCGAGAAAACAAGCAAACTGTTTGGGCTTCACAAACTCATTCATTTGTTAATTGTTTGTGCATATTAAATTGCAAGTTTTCCATTATTATCAAGCAATAGACCAGAGTTTTACAGAGCAGAATTGTAACATCCAAGAAGACATGTCCAAATTGATGATTAGATAAGGACATATGCTTATTTTAAAAAGCTGGATAAAAGGCTTCTTTGGAAAATAAAGGTTGAAAATGGAGTTAATGCTTTAGATCAGTTTGTTGCTAATTGATATTTGAAATATTAGAAAACCCTGTCTAAAATTGCTGAATGGCAATATAGGAGGTCTGTTTGGTCCTCATCTATTGGCAGGCGTGGAAACTCTTATAATATTGAGAATATTAGACAAAGATTTTTTAGAAGTCAAGCCAATGATTAATTTGTATCCAGTTGAAGAATCTTACACAGATAACAGTTAACAAAACATCTGAAATAAAGAACTGGAATGTCCAGTTCTAACAAGTCAATGATTTGAGGTTTTACAGTAAAACATATGTCAGTTTCTTGTGATCTTAACGTGAGACTAATTTATCAAAAACTTCTTTTTCAGGTGTATTGGACACTTCAGCAGATGTTTAAAAAGCTTAAGTTGGAGATGCAATGAATCTGAAGTTCTGCCCTCTGCTTGTTCTATATGAACAATATGTTCTTTATACTGTATTGTTAATACAGTAATTTAGTATCTAAACATATTCATGTATTATTCAACTACATTACTAAAATTTGAAAGGTACAGCTTCAATGTCTAAAGAACTTTGGATCTACCACATTTAAATTGTTGCAGAGAATATTATTATGAGTTCTTAGAAGCACACTTGTCCAGCAGATGCCAAAAGACTGGCTTGATAAAATGTGTGCTCTCTCAAACTTTGACCTAGCTTTCTGTCAATGGAAGGATTGAATAAAATAATACTGTGGCATCAAAGCTGAACTTGTTTAAGAATCAAGCTGTTGATGGAGTTCCATTTTGTATATTTTTTGTTGTTATAAAACAATAACAATGAAAAGCCCTCAACCCGGAAGTAAGATTGAGCCTTCAGGATAATAAACCTTATAGACCTGTCCTCTGTGAAGTTATCCAAGCTAGTGGCCATCACTAGTAGTGGTAATGAATTTCACAGGTAAATTATACAGTGTGTGAAGAAGTGCTTTCTTTGATCAGGCTTAAATTTCCTTCAGTAGCTCTCTTGGATCCATTCTGTCTTCCATTTTAATGTGGACTACATTGGTGACCCCAAGTAATGCAGTCCTACCATCAATATAAGATGAACAGCACCATCCAAGATATAAAATCCCAAAACTATATCTTACCCTATACTGCAATTGAAAAAGAAAAAGGAATCATTTTGGATCTACTACATCTGGGTTGTTGTAAAGATTGTTATGTGTTCTTAGAAAGACTCTGGTCCTGCAGATATGAAAGGCTGGTTGGATAAAATGTGTGGTCTTTCAGCCTTTGAACTGTCTCTGTTGTCAACACAATGGATGTTGTTCTTTCACGGCACCAGCTGAGATGGCTGCATCTCATCCTGATTTGTGTATTGGTAGGTCCCAACTTGATGGCAAAATAAACGTTAGGTGTGTGCTTCTAAAAGGTTTAGGGATCAGTAGCAAAATCAACAATGCAACCAAAGACAGGTACCCACCTTCCTTTGCTTAAGAAGGAGAAAGTACATAAAAATTGAGGTATTTTTAATTAGCTTCATTATATATAGAAGGAGTCACAAAAGCACTCAGTGCTCTTACTGCCTGACAACAACAGAAAAACTAGGAAGGAGAACAAAAAGGGAAATATCTACAGAACAGGTACTTCTATGGGGAGGTTTCATTATATGGGTGCTTTATTCAATTGCATGCATTTATCATGGCCTTTATTTCCTTCTTGCTGTTTAAAAGCTTCTTCTCTACATCACCACTATCATCACAAATCTCCATATAGCAGTCTATGTATTAATATTAAACAGCTATTGGTAAGTAATAAGAAGGAAACTCTTCTGGAGCATTCAGAGTACAGGCTGCTCAGTCCTTCTTGGAATCATAAGCAAAAGTTAGAAAATTGTCCCCTGTTGTTTGCTCTCCAGCATTTGATACTCAAAGGGAAACTGCTTTTGAACATGAAGGTTCTACTTAATTAACGTAACTAACATCATTACAATGATGTGCAAACATTCCCTTGCTTTTCCCCATTTTAGAGGTGTTGTTCTCAAAGCCAATTCCTCGATAGATTCCAGAAATATCTCAACCAACTTTATTCCATGATCCTGGGTTTTAGGGTTAGGGGCAGATACATTTCCTCTACTCTTCTTCTCCTCACCCTGCACAATTATATAAACCTCCATCATGTTGATCCTTTTTGTCATTTTTTTGTCTTCTCCTAAACCAAAACATCTCAAGCACTTTTCATATGGAAAGAAATCCCAATTTTGAGTGGGTTTAGATCCATTTTACCCAGACCTTTTGGATAGCTCTGATATCCTTTTAGAGACAAAAACTGTCTCTAAAAACATTCCATAAACTTACAATTGAATTATTTCTTTTTTATTTCAGGATTTAGAACTTGGTAGCCATTTTGGTAGTTTAGTGAGGTTCAGACAACTGGAAAAAAAACATCTGAGCATTAGCAACAAAGATTCCTGAAGGTACTGAAGAAAACAAGTGCTCTGTACCAAGGTATTGTGATGTGCTGGGTAAAGGAATTATGGGTTAGAGTTAGAGTAGAATTTTTGGACAGCAAAAATACAACAGCAATAAGTTAGAGGTGGGCACTGATGATGTTACCTAGCTGGGTAATGAAATGTCTGCAAGCAAACAACCAAGCTCAGAGAGCACCAAGGACTCCAAAAGGTAGAGGTCTCTGGGTCTCCTTGCCATCTATTGGTCATGCAGATCTATTGCAGCTCAGATAAGGTATCTCTAGTGAGGGATGAGAAAACCAATGAAGTATTCGCTTGTCACTAGAAGCTTTACAGTATAATTCAGATTTTTGCAGAATGTTTTCTCTAGGGTGGTCCTTGAAGAGCCAGTGACTGATTGACAGGCATAGGTACATCCAGACACCTTGCACTAATTTCCAGACAGCTGCACAAATTGTTAATTATCTTCTAGGCCCAATTCAAACTCCTGGGTTAGACATTTGAAAACACTTAAATTACGTGGGAGGTGGACGCTTTTTCCCATATGAGCATTTGGTGCACATCTAGGGGTTTCCATAAGTACATGGAAATGTATTCAATAATTACAATTTATAATTGTGCAATTCCAGAATGATGGCAATATGTTAACAGAAGACTGCTAAGTCCATGACTGCTTATGTATGCAAAGCATGTGCCTTCTCTCCAGTACAGATGTTCCCAAAGAAAACAGTTTGGAGAAACTTTACTCTCTAGTTATCAGTCAAAGCAGCTGGGTCAAAACTAGATAACCGAAGGCCTCTGGGGGAGGGGTGTCGGTGTGACTGCAAAATGTCCAGATGGTAGCCATGACTGCACAATCAAAGTGCTGCACTTAAAACAAGGTGGGTCTTCAACTGTGTGGTTACAGCTGCCCTCTGGACATTTTGATTCCCCCTGTGGACACCCCTGTAGATAACTGATGCCCATCCACCTCAGTCGATCACCGGTGGTACACCTCTTTCCAGCCTGGAGCCACAGGGTGCATATCAGATGATGTAGTGATGTCATCAGGCTAACTTCTAGGCTCATTTTCGGGGGAATTTAAAGGTAGAAATTAGTATGTCTTGCCTCCTAAAGTCACCTATTTCCACTTTAACCATTTAGAACTTCATCTTGGGCTACTAAGAATTAGCCATTTTGCCACTGAATTTGGGTGGGACATTTTTGGGGTAATGCTGGGTGCTTGAGATGGCATCTGATCTGGGGTTGATTGTCCTAAGCCTCCCAAACTGGCAAACATTTGCAATGTTTTGGGAAAGCCATACTACCTATTCTTCTGCTTTATCATGAAGCCTAAGAGGCTACTACCTTATTGACATTTACTTCATAATCTGCTTCTGAAAAGAACTAGACTCTTAAATAATTTAATAGTGGGTATATCATTAATTAACCCACTAAATTAATTTTTAAGCTTGGAATGATATGGATGTAGTTCCAAGTACTTGTGAAAATGTAAGGAAATAGAAATTCAGTTTTCATTTAAGTGATCCTTCCTTTATGTTAGGTGAACATTGTACTACGAAGCAGAAATGAAGCTGCAGATTCTTCTATGCCTCTTCCTGACAACACTGGTTCTCCCATTTTCTGAAGGTGAGAGTCAAGGGTTTTGTGATCTTGTAGAATCATACCCACTATACCAGGCGGTTGTATTTGAAATCCCATAATCCCTAGCCAGCATGGTCGACACTGAGCAGGATTTATGGAAATGTACATGCGATAATGCAGCCAGGGCAAGAAGAACATGTGGCATGTCGAAATACATCTTGTTTGGAAAAGATAAATTAATCGCATGATTAGCAATATCAGTCTTCTGCAGGATTTTTAAAATTAAAATGGTATGCATGCCTTCTCATTTTTATCAGAACTACAGTTTGCCAGGAGACAAGGGTGAATCAACTGTGGTAGCAATTCTATTCACACACACACACCCAGACCTGGTGTGGTAATTAGTTTCCATTTCCTACAGTCCCACTGGAACCTGGAGGACTTATACACATTATTTAATTCTTTAAACCCAAACTATCATGGTTGCTAATCCCATTTTTTAAAGGAACATCTGGTTTTACTCTGAGCAGTTTTGAAAACATCACTCTCAGAGAAAAGACAATTCACGGTTCTTGCATAAACCATGGAGAGGGGGAAAAAAATGAAAGCTGAGCTGGGAAACTGAAGAGCAATGTCCTTCCTTGGGCCCTTGGCTCTGCATGTTTATCAATCTGTTTGCTTAAAAATATGTCCGTGCCCTTCCATTTCATTTAAAGCGTCTTGCTATGACCACAGGGAAGGACAGTTGTCTGAGTTCACACGGCAAAAGACACCTGATTCCTGGATTAGTAATCTGTTTTTTGGGTGGAGGGGGGGTTGATACACTACTTTGAACCTTCAAGGAACCCAATGGTTTGGGTTCATTCATCATGCAAGAGCCCAGAAGACTAACTAAGGTTAACTCTAATGAAGCTTAGTATATTGTGCAACTCTATCTGCTAAGGCTTGACCTTGCTTGATTAAGCACCTTGAGTGGACCCAGACTGTAGATTGTCATGATAAGCAATTTACTGACATTCTTGTAGTATTTAATCATCCTTTAGTTTCACTGTAATTGTCCTAGTAAGCAACTGGGTGATCTCATCTGGGCTGGGAAATGGAGCAGGGTTGGGTCTGATTAGTCCTTTGATGAAAGACCACCAGGGTGTTTCAGGGATGTAGGCTAGAACAGGGTGTCCCTATAATAGCAAACTGAAAAATCTCATAAAGACATCTGAAATTGAGCTTGAGTTGGAAGCAACCTTCTATCTTAAATTCTATCTTAATTTAATTGTCCATTTCTGTATGGTATTTGAATTCTATAACAAGATTTGTGGATGTCTGATTTGGGCTCTTTCCACCATTTGGAGGACTGTATGGGGATGCTTCTCTTTTTATTGTTTCCTTGGTTGTTTGTTAAAGGCCATGGAGCTCAACAGATCAAGCACTACAGTCACTGGACCTCTTTCCTAAATCCTGGTGTTCAAAACAATCTTCCTCCTGTGAAGCATGAGGCTCTCGTGGTTCCTGATGATGATTTGGAAAACCAGAAATCTTTTTGCCAAGCAGGTTGTCGAGATGGCTGGATAAGTTACACGGATCACTGCTACATGTATGTTCAGGAGCAACTACCATGGGCAGAAGCTGAGGTATTAACATCTTCCAAATAACCCTCTTCAGAAGAGGCTTTTCTTACACAAGCATCCTGTCTCATTCACAGAACCTCAAGGGTGATCCATAGAACATCATCCTTTAGTTGAAACTAAAGCTATCCTATCTATTTATGTTGGGTAAAATTTATCTAACTGCCTGAAATTAGCTGGAGTCTATGCGATTTACAGAACTGTCTTACAAATAAAAATGAAATTATGATTAAAATTCAAAGCTAGCAATTATAAAACTAAGAAGTAGTGTCACAATATGTAGGGGATCCAAAGGCTCTCTGCATAAGCCATGTTTTCAGCAGCTTCTGGAAGGCCATAATAGTGGGGGCTATATACATATTGGGGGGCAAGATGGTTCAGAGTAAGGGGGATGCTACAAAAAACTCCCCCCATCAGGCAGCCCATGCATTATGTCGTGGTAGATGGGGACCCTCCACAACTGCTCTCTAGTGGTCAACAAGACACCTAACACCTAATCACGCTCCAGATTGCTAGGGAACTTCCCAAGTGCCACCAGGAAACCTGCTGGATCCATCAGTGGCCTGAGGAGGACCATCTTAATAAGTCCCTCCTCCCTGCAGAGGTTGGCAGCTCCAGTCAGGCCAATTGTCACAAGGAAATGATTTGCCCATGTCAATGGACTGATGGAAAAGTCCACCAAAAGCAAACAGGTCATGGCATATCTGCTTCAAGGTGGATACCAGATGTAGAGTGTGGCCAGCCACACGAGTTAGGCTGGTGACGGACTCCCAGATTGTCCCTTTGGTCCATCCCAAGCAAGGCCTCACATTTGGCCAATTGAGTTGGGACTGATGCCAAGCATGAAATCCAACCAGAGAGATCTCTGTGAACACCCACACACCCCTTCATTCAGCCAGATCTTGGTAATACATACCAGGCCTTCATATCTATGATTAAATTGTGGATGAGGTGATGCTCGTTTCATCTTTTTTTTCTTACTACGAATAGCAGTTTAAAGGGCAGAACAGCTTCTTGACTGTGCAACTGGAAGGCATCCATCTGGGAACACACTTTGCTTGTTGTTCATCTTGTTTCAGCCTGGATGGACAGGATATTAACATCAGGGTTTTATGTGCCATTTTTTATTATTATTATTATTCACTGCTTTTATTCAGTCTATTGTTAACCCACATTTTGTCCTGAGGTTCTGGATAAAATGGCTTAGACAAAATGTCCATTATATTTGGCATTTCTACAGCCTTTATGAGGGCAAGATAATGGGGGCGGGGGGAGTAGCACATTACCTCAACTTTTGTAAAGCAAAGCAGACAGCAAAGTTGGAGATTTGGGGGATGAGAGGGAGCATAGACAGACTCAGATCTTACACAGATTACTCGGTGGAGTAATAACACAAGCATTATTACAATGTGGAGTTTCCATGTAGGAAACATTGTCACCAGCAATATAAAGAACTTTGTTTTTCTCTCTGTGTAAAATTTAGGGCTTTCACTGGGTGGAGGGAAGCACTGACAGAAATCTCTAGCACCATCTGACCATCTCACACATTGGTTCATATAATGTTTTATTTTTTGTTTCTCTGCCCCCCCGACTCTTTCCCTTCCTTCCTTCCTTCCTTCCTTCCTTCCTTCCTTCCTTCCTTCCTTCCTTCCTTCCTTCCTTCCTTCCTTCTGTCCCCCCTTCCCCCTTCCATTTCTTCTCTCTATCTCTCCTTCCCTTTCTTCCTTCCTTTTCTCTCCCTCCTTCTCTCCTAGCTCCCTCCCTCCTTCCTCTTTCTTCACTCCATTCACACACACACACACCAGTTATTCTGAATCATACCTTCTATTCACGCTTTCTCTGCTTACTTTCCCCCTCCAACCATTACTTCTAGAGATCTTGCCATGGCTTAGCCCCAGGTGGACACCTGACAAGCATCTCAAGTGCCGAACACAATGCCTTTCTGGTGAATATGGCCACTTACCAAGCAAGAAAGCCAGGCCAGTGCTGGACAGGAGGAAACCAGCAAAAGGTGTGTCCAACCCTAAAAACAGCTGGCAACTTTGAGCTCCAATCTCTAATAGTAATCATTAATCAATTAATTGATTAATAAGACGTTGCATTTCTGCTTTAAAAGTATATATGATACTGTATAAAAATGCTGTTTTAAATATTTTTCAGTTTCAATTCAGTTACACGTTTAGCTCCATGGGTCTTCAAAATGGGGTGAAACATCATTACTGCTTCTGTCCCATAGATTGCAGGCCTCATATTTAACTAAATACAATCTATATTTATAATTGTTATATAACAATCTATATTTTGTGTCCATTGGGACACAAGGATACAATGGCAGTATTTGTACGATGATATCACTGCACATGTTTCATCATGTTGATGACATAATTGTACAGACAGTCCCCTACTTACAAACAGGTTACGTTCCAAGAGGCTGTTTGTAAGTCCATTTTGTTCGTAAGTCCAACCAAGTAAAAAGTTTTAAAAAGCAGAGGAGGCAGAAGGCAGGGCAGCTGTGTGGGCAGAGGAACCCTGTCTTCTGCTGCCAATGCATCGCCAGGTGAGGCAGGAGAAGGGCTGGTAGCGGAGAAGAGGGGAGTGAAGGATGAGTTGGTGGGGCGTGGTGCACTCCCTTTCTGGGAGGGAGTCCTGCCCTCCCCTGTCCTCTGCCACTGCCCCCTCTCCTGCCTCACTTGGCAATGGAGCTTGCCACGAAAACTAACCCTTTCTGGGAACTCCAATTCCAATGCAAACCTCCAATCCAAACGGAAGGCGGGAGAAGGCGGGAAAGGGTTCGTTTGCGGCTGGTTCTGACTTCCAGCCGGATTTCCGGTTCTGACTTCCGGGTCCATCTTGTTTGTATCGGTGAAAGTTCGCAACACAAAAGTTCACAAGTAGGGGACTGTCTGTATCTTGCTGCAGGCACCACTTACCCATTCATCCAGTATAACAGATCTTGGACTTCAAAACTCAGTTCTTCAGCCTGCTCAAAAGAAAAGAAAAGAAAAAGCCATATCTGCTGTCGTTAATGATTAAAAGAAAAAGTTATCAGTCACGGAACACAGTTTTAAGCTACAGCTACTTGAAAGGTTCAGTTGAGATTGGTAGAATTGAACATTGCTGAAAAGAGATTCCTCCCAAATCAGTTTGTTTGCAGAGATTCTCTTCCCTCTAATAAATTATGCAGCCTGCTTTATTCCTGCTCTTCTCAGCCATGGATACCTGGCTGCAGGCCAGAGAGGTTGGGGTGCACCTCTGTGAAAAATCCCTTTGCTGTTCAGTCTTGATCCTAACTTATGCAAATATTCCTTGAACTGATTACATTATGGATAAGGGATAAGCCAATCTTCATTCAACTCCTATTTTATTTTTCTGCAGGGTAATAATCTTCAATGGACAGATGGCACTGCGGCAAATTTCATTCAGCGTCCACTAAGTTCAATTTTTCATATTATTGGGGGAACACTTAATCAAATCCTATCCCTGAATATTCACCTCTGCTTGAATATCAATATAGGAGGTATTCTCCACAAATATTTCAAGTACTGCAGTAAATATGATCCTTAACTGTTGCATGTTCTCATCTCCTCCCAAGCAGTAGATGGTTTAAGTTACAATGGCAGTTTTACTTCCCAAGACTTTGTATTATAGCATTTACTTTGCAACACTGAAATGCCCTTAGAACTGGAGATGGTTTGTGTTATTCAGTATGTTGTTAATGCAGTTAATATTCAGCTATACAGTTCCTCCCCAATTAGGAAGATGGAAACTGATTCACAAATTCTGAGTTTATTTTGAACAAGCTTGGCTATTTTTTTCTTATTTAACTCAAGCCATTTCAGATCAGAGATGAATCTACAGTTTTAAAAAATGCCATCTGCCCCTTTTTTCCAGAAAACAATTAGGCAAGATGTAGATAGAAAGCACAGTAAGTTCTAACAAAATCTGCCAAGTAAAATGAAATACTGACAGGCCACTAAGAAAATTTTGTTAAAACTTCCTTAGGAACCTGGTATTTCAAGTAATTCACTCTGGAGAGAAAAATCCCATTTATTCTAAATTTCAGGCAGCCAATCAGGGCATCAATGGCTTGAATTTGTTTTGTTCTGTTGTTTTCTTTTTTTTTTTTAATATTGCCAAGACTATTTTGGCTTATCTGGAAATAATTCCATTGCGTGCATTTTTTTAAAATCATAGGAAAATCCCTCAAATATGCTTCAATGTTTCCTTTGGTAAAAGCCTAATGCCAAACTTCAAAATGCAGCCTAATGCCAGATTTCTCTTCCCCAGTCTTGTATGCATCTATGCTTTTCTGATATCTGATAAGTTTATAAGCAAGGTAATAGCAGTTAAAAGAAATTCAGTGCAAGTTGCTGGGCCAAAACACGAACACACAATTTGAGCAGGAGTAAATTCTGTTAATCTGCTCTCACAACAACAACAAAAGGTTGAAAATCGAGCAGACAGTAAGTGTGTTATAAGAATTATTTGAACATACCTCTGTTAGTCTAAAAGGGCCAAAGGAACACAGGGCTTTTGCTGTTTTCTAGCTACTTCTACCATTTTGTGAGTGCATCGAGAGCTACGTGTCCCATCCAGTTGGGATGTTTGCGTGTCCCATGTGGAACTTCCTATACATAGCCAGTTCCCCTGGTTTGCATCTAAAACCCTTGTGGACAGTAGCAGCAAATGGCTATGTTTGGGGCAAAAATGAGGTCCCCTTTCTTCTTCGCTCTCCTAGAGCAATTATTTTTCAAGGCTTAAAAAAACATGTGTACTCATTTATGCATTGCAGGTGGAGCCAAAGGTTGTCTTCATGGCACCAGGCGGGGCTCTTAATTCTGTGGCAGTTGTTGAGGCCAGTAATTCAAGCACATTGTTTTCCTTTGGCTTCTTTCCCTGCTTCTCCCATTGTTGTTAGTGAATCTGTTTTATGCCCCTGAAGACCTGCAATGTACCCACAGTTCTAGTTTACCAGCCCATGTTGATATCTTTAAGAAGATACCTATCTAAACTTCTGTTTCATAATTTTGGAATCTGCATGGACCAATTGTTGACAGCTACTTGTTTCTGTTGTGTTTAATTATCTCTTCTATAGCATTATTGTTTCAGAGAACATAGGTAGTACTGTTGACTGGGTATGCCTTTCCTTGTTTTCTAGTAGTGTACCAGATAAAAGCCACATTTGACTATGGAAAAATAAATAAATAAGGAGGTATTAATATAGTGCAGAGCCAAAGTCCCCTTGGATAAGCCCAAAGGGTTCTTGAGCTTTGTGGGGTAGAAAGGTGGATACTGTTCTGAAAGCCTTTTTGGACATGCATAAAGAAGAAAGAGAAAATGGAGGAACATGTGTGCAACCATCAGGAATCAGGTTCACCAGCCCTGCTGCAGAAAAAACAAACACACAAGCAACGTCACATCCTGATGTGTGAATGGGTTTGCAATCATCCTCGCAAATACGTTATCAGCTTTCCCAAAAGTTCAGGCAACCATAAAGCTAATTTTTAAGTTGCCACAATGTCTATGAAGAGAGGTAGGGCTTTTCTCCCTCTCTTTCTTGAAAGAGTTCTAGGTTTGCAATTTACTCTTTTACTGACATTTCATGTTTTTTTTTCCCCCAGGCCATGGTCAGTGGGATGGTACCAACTGCCAAAAGAAGCTACCTTTTATCTGCAGCTACAAACCATATTTGGCAGTGCCATAATTTGCAGCATAATGCCTACTTTCTAACAGCTACCCAACTGTGTCAGCCCTGGAATCCAGATAATCCACAAGCGATTTCTTCCTTCTGTGAACATGCACGCATACACCCTCATGCAAGTTCAAATGCTAAAGAATCATTTATTGACTTGGCTTAGATTGACACCAGTCATTATTTAAAGCACCATAATAGATTGCATTATTTAACAAAATCTGGCTTGATTTGAGTGTTTAACAAGATCTATGTCCTACTTATACCCTAAACAATAGCAATGAGAAACCTTTAATCTGAAAGTAATTACAAATCACTCATTAAAACATTACTTACTTCAGCATTTAATGGCCTAGTCATATCATTTAAGATGTTGAAAATGCTCTCCTTACAAATGTCAGATAAATCCATGAAGAGGTAATTGAATGTTGTTATTTGAAGGGTTATAAAGGAAATGGAAAGGAAAGGAAATTGAAAGAAAGGAAAAGATATTGTTGCAGTTTAATCATGGGTTCAGAGAAAAAGCACACACAACCTAAAAAGAAATAAAATCAAAAAGAAAACCTTACAATCTACACTGTGTATACATAAAAGACACAAAGGTTTGTCAAATGAATGCAAATGTGTTATTAGAGTATGTATGTTAAATTGTTAGGCATTATACATCATGGTGCACTGCATAAGCAGACATTTCCTTTTCGCTTCTTAATTATAACTTATTTGGCACAAATGTACTTATTTGCCATCATAGATACAATCCACCAGAAATTCTTCAAGGCTGCATCCAATAGAAAGAAATCAGAACAAGGAAGGAGCAGGCCTAATTCTAATCATTTTGATAGATCTTGTACAGGCAAAGTATAAGACTTCACTTGTAGCCAATACTTGGAAACCAATAACAAGATCATGATGATAGATGAAGTTGTTGTTATGGATGATCATCATCATTGTCGTCATCATCAAAAATGGCCAGTCTTTGGGCGTTCACTAATAACACGTATCTGCAGGTTTATAGACCACACACACATTGAATTTATTTATTTATTTAATGTTTATTTGTAGCATTTATATGGCTGTCCAGCTCAGACAATGTGGCTCTGGGCAGGGAACAAAAATAAGAATAAAAACCAACAAATTCAAGGAAAACTCATATCATTAAAGTCTAGTAAACAATAAAATGGTAATCAGGCTAAAGAATACTATAACTCCTCAAAGTGAGAACTTTACAAATGCCAGGTGAGTAGAGTTCCCCACTTTGACTAGTTGTATTATTATAATAGTCATGGAATTAACATACAGTAATAAATAGTCAAGGAATCGCGAAGAAGCAGCTTACGTAAGACTTCATTTGGATACTACACATATATCCAGTCATGGGATTTATTCAAAGAAATTCTCCAGTTTGTGCAGATGAGTAGAGCAATTATTTTCAGTGCAAAAGATTCCACCTTCAGAGCTGTCATCTCCAGGTAATGGAATTCAGGTACGAGGACTAGGAAACTTGTCTAGCTGAGACTGTGGAGAACGATGGGCAGAGCAGACAACATTGGGCTAGAACATTGTTTCCAACTTCCAGATGTCAACTTAAATTCCCAGCCTTCTCAGCAATGGCCATGCTGGCTAGGGAATTCTGGAAGTTCAGACTGACACATCTGGAATTTGGAAAGGATAGGAAACACTGGGATAAAGAACCAATGGTCCAATCAACATAGCATACGTTCATATACTGACATTGATGAATAGCTGTATATGCTACCTAAAAGGTCCCAGTCATGATATCATTTGTACCCTTTTCTCATTTCCAAATGAACCCCTATTTATAAATGTTTCTTCTTTGGGCACTGCATTCCCACATGAGGAAAATAATATAAATCAAGCAAGAATTCAAATGCCATATTTATAATATGTGCATCTTTGACTCAAGAGCTGGATACATTTCAAATGATGGTGGGTCAGCACCATCAGTTAAGTTCTACTGAGCTTCTCCACCCATTCTTTTATATCAATCTTTGTTTCCAGACACATCTATGAATTTTGTGTTTTCTGTAAGTAACAAATATGGCCTATATTTTGGTGCTTTCTGCTCCCACATCTGAAAATAAATATTAATTTGTCACTCATTCACTGTCAAAACACTTTTAGTTTCACTGCAGTGTATCCCCTGTAGGAAGCCTGATGGTTAATTCAACATTTCAACTTTAATTGTGCCCTGTTATATTAGAGATGAGAGTAGATATTGGCAATTTTTAGATGGAACTTATGAAAGATTCAGGATACTGTGTGACATTAATAATTTACAAAGTTACAGCCAAGAACTGGCCATAGTCAAGCATATTTAGACCTGCTTAAATGAATGGCCTCACAAAGGTCTAGTTTTTGCTGGTTCAACCCTTCAGAAGGCCACAGTTCTGGAGAACTTTTTTTATTATAGATTATAGGCAGAAAGGGAAGCCATAGAAGGTCTCTGCCTTCCCTGTCATGCCAAACAAACAAATCACTGTGTTGCTAAATGCTCGAGAAGTTTTTAAAATGATTTGCAATCTAAATTTGCACAAAGATGAATGATTTTCTCACCAGATTCAAACCAAAAATATAAATCAGGTTCTAAGCTGTCAAGTACCATTAAAGGAGCTCAAGAATGTCACAGCCTGCATCTCCCCCCTCCCCCCAGTGTTGCTAACATCAGGATTCGCTCTTCCCCATTTTGAGTGAACAGAATGATGGGACAAGTGGCTGGCCATCCTACCAATTTTGCAAGCTTTTGTTTTGAGGGGAGAGGGTGTTAATGGTAGCTGAGAGACATATAATACCCTAGGTCTGAAAGAAACAGGAGAAATAGGTGGTGGAAAAAGGAGGTAGTTCTGACCATCATGGCTTCCCCCAAACCTGGCAACTGCCCATATTTGCCAAGCTGTAAAACAGGTCCACTATTTTCCAAAGAATGGAGAAGCTCCAGAGGAGATATGAAAAAGTATGTGAGAAAGCGATTGAAGGGGTAATGTTGACAGGAGTTTTGGAAGGAGAATTTGTAGAGCTGGTGGAGTGGCACAATTTAAACAAGGTGAGGAGGTTGTATAGCTGGATTAGAGAGTATTGGGACTAAGACAAAATGGAAAATGGAAAGATCCTTTTTAGTCAGGATTCAGACCTGGACATCAGATGGAAATTGCATGGGGTCACACTGGTGGATGACATGAAATAAGAACTTGTTGGGGAAATGCACTTCTCTTTGTCGACTTACTGTAGAAGTCTCAGCAGCATTCAATATGCTCAACCATTGTATTGAATTCTAGGCAGGCTGAAGAGATCAGGAATTGAGGGCAGCATTTTTAGAGCTTCTGCTCCCTCCTGCATGGATGGTTCCAGTTGGTGGTAGTGGGAAAGGAGGGTCTACCCATTAGCCATTCCAAAATAAGTGTACACAGTTCTTCTCTCCCCCCACACTGTATGACATTTACATGAAGCCATTTGGGTGCAGTTTACATGAAGTTTGGAGAGAGACATATTCAATACCCTGATGATACCAGATATACATCTCTACCCCAGGCCAAGCCACTGATGTGATGGAAGTTCTGACCCAGAACCTAGAGACGGCAACTATTTGGATGGGGGGGGAAAACAGATTGAAGTTGAATACTACTAAGACTGTGTGACTTGTCCAGAATTATCTGGTTCTCTCTCTACTCTAATGATATGTCTGGAAAGGGTAGCATACAACCTGAAGGACTAAGTCTATGACTTGTGGGTCTTCCTACATGCATGACTTCAGCTGGTTAGGCAAGTGGAGGTCTTTTGGCTAGCTTCAGCTAGTGCACCAGCTTCAGAGTACAATTCAAAGTGCTGGTTTAATCTTGGCACCTGGGTAACTGATCACTTCAAGTAAATCCTACTTGTCCAGTGCATAGGTCTCAGGCTGGGATGCTAGAATTTTGTCTCTCTCCATGAACTCCAGGAACAGTAAGAACATCTTGTTTCTCAGCCATGTGTATCTACCTTGTGGACTGCCTACCCTCAGAAATCCATATAGTTCATTTCTGAACAATTCAGAAGAAGATGTATTTAAGATCTGTCATCAGCACACCAATAATTACAATTATTTCTGGTTATAATCATTTATGAAAAGTTTTGACAGAGTTAAGGATTATTATTTCTGCAGTGTTCTGTTCTTCTGTTATGATCATTTTGCTTTTTTTATTGTCCACTGCCATTAATCCGCGTGGAGTGTGGCTGGTATATAAATAAAGATTTAAGCAAGTAAATAAAATAAATACAGTTCCAGTTATGACATTTTAAAGATTGTGTTACAAATTTGTATCAAGGGCTTTTTGTATGATCACAGGTATTTCATCTTAAATTCCACCTAACTATTCCAGATCCAGTGCCCATTAATCAGGATGGTTTGGAAACTTGATTCTCTCAAACTATACTTTGAGTCTTGATGTGGAGTCCTGGAAATTGTTGAAGGCTCCCTAATCAGTTAGTGATGACAGTCTCTTCCATAAAAATATGAATATGAAGATAGATAGATAGATAGATAGATAGATAGATAGATAGATAGATAGACACTAATTCATATGAAAAGTCTACTGCTTCTACTGTATAAAATACCCCAGATAAAGGCCATATTCAGTGTGAAGCTATTCATCAGCTCTATTTATTCTTTATTAATGAAATAATAATGAAAACATCTCAAAATAAATTATTCTGCAAGAGATATAGTACATCCAGCTTAAGGGCAGAAAGTATAACATTAATTGGTAGCTCACTTTTTTGATGCCAAGAATTTCTGCAGTACAGGAAGATGACTCTGGGACTTTTTTTTTTTTTACTACCAGCAGATGTATAATAATCTAAAATGCATTAAAAAGATCTGCAGAGCTCAGCCTCAAGAACATCTTTAAGAACTAGGGAGCCAGTTTGGTGTAGTGGTCAATGTGTTGGCCTAGAAACCAGGAGACTGTGAGTTCTCATCCTGCCTTGGGCACGAAAAACAGGCTGGGTGACTTTGGGCC